TCGAACCAACTACTACAGAGAATCAAGCAACGAGAGGAAAAAAAGGCTCTAAAAATTCTCCTCTCATTGTACCACCATGAATAGAAGGAGGGCAAGGACAAATAACTGGACCATCAATAGCTCAAAGAAGACTTAAGTGCCAAGCTCAAGAAAAACAAAGTTCACCTCCTTCTGACAGACCCACGGCCACTTCAGACTCTCATAATAGAGCAATTCTAGATTATTCGAAAGCTGAAGATAATGAGCAAGCCCCGATACTCCAAAGAGATAAATCTGTACTCCCTAGTCTCTTGAACACTAAACCAGATTCACCATCCATTTTTACCACAACAGATAACGGGTCACAACAAGAAGCTGTTACTGGAGCCAGTAACTAAGAAGAACTATTTAACCCTTTAGCAATACTGTCAACTGCTGGGACTTCAGCAAATAAAAAATCAAAACAACACCTCTGAAATCAGTAGGATTTAAGTTTGACACTTACTCATCAAGAACATCAGTAGAAGAAATGGTTACTTAAATAAAATAAAATCCAAAGCTGCAATCTACCGCTTGCAGATCAATGCATAAAGATGCTTTGAAAAGCAGTTGTGATGGAAATAATGATAAACGATATCCTTTAACTAATATTTTGCAAAATACATATTTTTCTGGCTCATCTTTGCATTGGGATAACTACATAGAATTAGAACTGATAAATACAACAGCAAACAACGAACCAGAGTCAGCCAAAACAAATTTTCAGAATTTTAAAGCTTAATCTTATAATGCACTAGACTATTCCGATGACTCTTAAAATTCTATAGAAGAAGGAAGCTTTTCAATAAGATCAAAATCATCTATAAGATGCTCCAAGGCTGCATCTGCGGTAAAACGAGATGATGTTGATACTGTATGGAAAGAGCTTAATGCTTTTACTATTGTGCAAGAAGATAGCGAAAAAGCTATAGAGGAAAAAAAAAGCATGGTAGCAAACCCAATACAGCTTCTCATTCAAGTGCTCAACAGCCAGACACATTTATGAAAAAGCATTTTTCCCCCATGCAGAGTAACTTGACACTGTCTACTCGTCCTATAGCCGTATTTGAAATGTTAGAGCAGTAATGAAATGCCGAACGCAATGACCAAGTCACTCGTAAAAAAAGCACTATAATAAGAATTTTAATAAGAACAGAAATGAATTACCTCGAAGTATTAAGCACACAAGAATGTTTATCATATACAAAAGACAACATTGCAATCTTTATTTCGGCTGACTTGATATTTTTTTCTATTAACAAGAAATTGTTATTAAATGTAAATTATATTTCAATATACTAATTAAATAAAACGCAACCCCAGGTAGTCGACGTGATAACAACTAATTATAAAAATAAATTAGTATTCTGTTCGGTTATCAAAGAAAGATAAAGAAATGAAATATTGCTTCAACATCTTCTTTCATGATTAACAAGTTGAGCCAAAGAAATGGAAAATAAAAATATATAAACATTGAGAATATTTGAAAAGTGTTAAACAATCGACAAATTGCCCAGAAATATATTGCCCAAAGCCATTCATGAAGAATCCAGTCATGTAAACATTAAAATAACTTTATATTTTGGCGATTGTGCTTATTTATCAAACGAAATAAAACAACAAAAATTAATAGAATACCACAACAGTATTTTCAGTGGGCTAGAGGTATAAATAAAACTTATAGAAGGATAAGAAAATTGTACTACTGAAAAGAAAGGTATGAGAAAAGATATTGAACATTTTGTACGAAAATGCTAAATTTGCCAAAAACAAAAACTAACATGGATAAAAAGAAAAGAACTTATAATAATAACTAATACTTCAGCTAAAGTTTTCTCAAAAATAGCCATCGATACTGTAGGACTGTTAATAACGATAACGTCTGGTAATAAACAAATAATAACTAAACAATGTTTATTTTTAAAGTTCTGTGTAGCAGTAGCTATAAACGACATCTGAGCTATCACTGTCACAGACGCTCTGGCAAGACACTTCATAGCATTATATGGAGTGCTTCAAGTAGTACTGAGCCATAATGAAAAGAGTATTTGAAATAATGTACTAACAAATGTAGACAAAATTTTCGGTTTCAACCTTAAAACCACTACATCTCACCATCTCTAATCCAATGGCTCATTAGAACGTAACAACCATGCTACGCTTGCAAACTTTGTAAGAACAAAAGCTACAACTAAACAGGACTTGGACAAAATTTCACCTTTTGCTATACATGAATACAATACATCACTAAATACAGCTATCGGATGTACACCTTATAAATTAGTATATGGCAGAAAAGCACCTCCACCAAATCCATACCCAACTGAGAATTAAATGCAGTCTTATAATAATTATTTCATTGATTTGATCCGTTGTTTAAGAGATATGCATTCAAAAGCGAATGATAAACTCAACAAATGTTAACATAAAAATTAACAAGATGATGATTAACATGCTGGGACTCAGAATTTATAAATTCGTATTGTTGTATATCTGGGTTCAGTGAATAAGTACATCGTCGAGTGGCTACATACTCAAAGGCTTATTTATTTAATGTAGTAATACAATGCGCTAACACAGGTGACTTCTTACTCGTGTACTTGCTTGCGACATACTACTCCCACGTACGCACTTGCTCGGCCTACCTGTATATTCACTCACACTGTCGTTACACTCATAGCCCACACCTACACAGCTTGCTCAATAGCACAGACCCAACATTTCCCCCTGTAAAAAAATGGCTACTCTACGCTTGATACCAGTCAGGAGGTTTAAAATTTTTTTTGGGTGTTAAACTTGGCGTATGCACGTTTCCATCATTTATATTATCACTACTTATTGGCTCCGCTGAGCTTGAAACAAATTTTGCAGGAACGCTTGACTTCGCAACTTTTTTAATTCCCATCTGTTCCTCAACATGCACATAATAATCAAAATCTTTACTAGGCTCAGCACATTCACATGCATTAATTTGATCAACATGTCGCGCCCAAACTCGGCCATCATCCAACTAAATCTTATAATGCAATTTGCCTTGTATATCAATTACTTTTCCAAAAAACCATTTACTTTTACCAACGTAATTTCGTACCATCACTCTTTGATTTAATATAAACTTTTGAACACTTGAATTTGTATTTACACGGATTCTATTACCTATTTCTTTAGCATCTCTAAGCAAATTCAATTTGGTACGGATCTTCCTCCCCAAAAATAGTTCCGCTGGTGATTTGCCCGTTGTACAGTGTGGCATGCTTCTGTATTGCATTAATATCATTCCAATGTCGCTTTTAATATTTTGTACATCATTTAATTTTCGTAGCGCATTTTTAATAGTCTGAACATAACGCTCCGCCTGGCCATTTGTAGCCGGATGAAAAGGTGCTGAAAACTTCTGCACAATACCTCGGTCTCTTAAATAAGCTGAGAATTTATCAGAAACAAAAGTTCTGCCATTATTAGAAACCAAAATTTTTGGAAAACCGAATTGTGCAAAAATCTCATCGCACTTACAAATGGTAGTTTCTGTCAACATATTTTTCACTACGTGTATTTCAGGCCATTTCGAATATGCATCAATTAGTATAAAAAAAATCAAATTTAAAAATGGGCCAGCAAAGTCAATGTGTACTCTATCAAAGGGTTCTGAAACAGGCTCCCATACATGTGTTACTACCCTAGTAGGATTATTTCTAACTGACAAACATAATTTACATGAATTCACGAGTCTTTCTATATGCCCATTAATACCTGGCCACCAGCAATGTCCCCTAGCTAAATTTTTCATTTTTATGATACCGAAATGACCCGTGTGCAGTTCTCTCAAAATCTGAGCACGCAACTTTTAAGGAATTACAATTTTATGAGCACGCACTAACAAACCATTCTCAATTAAAAATTCACTTGGATCTACATTCCAGGTATCTTTTTTATTTAGAAATTTACCTGCATTCAGACTATCAATTATAAATTTGAAATTAATGTCATTATCTACAATGTTATGAATATTAAAAACATCGATTGACAACAGATTTAAAGCTTCCACGTAAAATGTATCAACAATATCGCAACTAATATCACAGTTATTAACAGGTAATCTAGAAAGACAGTCAGCATTACAATTCTGCTCTGATCTTCTGTATTTAATAGTATAATTAAAACCACGCAAAAATAAAGCGTAATGCTACATACGCATTGCACTGTAAGTAGGTAAATATTTGTCCGGATTAAAAATTTGAACTAATGGTCGATTATCACAAATCAAAGTAAACGTGTGTCCGTATAAGTATTGATGTAATTTCTTAATTGCAAAAATAATCGCATAAGCCTCCCAATCTATCTGACTTCATTTCTGCCTCACCTTATTAAGTCTCTGAGACACAAAACAGATAGGTCTTTCTGAACCATTATTCAATACATGAGATAATACAGCACCTACACCTCTCGGGCTCACATCAGTGGCCATTACTAATGGCAATTTCGAATCAAAGTACATTAAACAGTTATCTTGTGTAAAAAATTTTTAACAGCATCAAACACTTTCTGACATTCATCTGTCCACTTGTACTCCTTATCATTACTCAACAAATTATACAATGGACATAATGTGCTCGCGATGTCTTTCATAAAACGATTATAATAGTTTATCATCCCTATGAACGAACGAAATTCTCCAACGTTTGCAGGTGGTGGCATATCAAGCACTGCTTTTAACTTTTCAGGATCTTTATGTAAACCCATCTCATTAAGAACGAAGCCGCAATAAATAATTCTTTCTTCAAAGAAAGTGGATTTTTCCCAATGGATTTTTATATTGTGCATGTCGAGAATTTGGAAAACCATATGTATTAATTTAATTTATTTATTTACTGTACGTGCAGCCAACAACAAATTATCCTGGAATACTTTCACACCCTTAATTTTACCGAACAAAGACATCATCTTTTCTTGCCATATCGCGGGGGCTGCAGCAATGCCAAACATCATTCGCTATACCCTGTATAAACCGCATTGTGTATTAAGTATGTTGGATGTAGCCTTATCAACAGGTAATTGTAAATACGCTTCAGTACAATAAATTTTTGCGAAAAACCTACAACCAGCCAGATCAACAAGCAGCTCGTAAGTCGCCGGAAGTGGATACTCGTTTACCATTAGTTGTGAATTCACGGTAACACTATAATCTCCACAGATCCGTACGGTGCCATTGCTCTTAAGTATAGGTACGATCGGAGTAGCATAAGGTGATGAGCTAACGAGCTCCAAAACTCTCCCCTTCTCTAAAGACTCCAAGGCTGCATCGACTAATGGTATGAGTCGAAATGGCACGCTTCTTGACTTGACGAAAACTGGCTTGGCGTCAGGCTTCATAGTTAAAGTCACAGCTCCTAATCCTAAAATTGGTGAAAAATCTTGCCGTATCACATTCTTGTATTTATGTTTTAAATCATTAACAAACATTTTTTTATTCGGCTTTTCATTCTCGCAAGTATCTTCAACCGACAAAATCGAAGTAAACAAACTTTGAGCTCCGCGACTTTGTATAAACGCTCTAATCCATTCGCGACCACACAAAGGCATACGATTCACATCAGTTAAATACAATTTTAAATAGAACTCTAAATTCTCAAACAAAACACAAACATTTATAAAACCTCGCACACATACATTCGACTTACAATAGGTGACTAGTTGTAACGATGATTTGTAAACCCTCTCTCCTGGGAACAACTGCTTGGCTGTCTCGTAAAACATAATAGAAACCGCTGCTCCCATGTCGACCTCAAAATTTACCTCGGTGTTGCTTACATTCAGCTCTCTCACGAACTTCTCTCTATTTTGAAAATCTTCCACAGAAAATACGTTGAGTATATCAACTACCTCGAAGTGAGAATCCTCTTCAGTTTGAGGAATTTGCCTCGGTGTATTTCCTTTCTGCATACAGATCTTCTCAAGATGTCCCTGCTTTTTACAAGCATTGCATATGATATTTTTGGGCAATGTGCAAACATTCGCCTTGTGATTTATATTACCACAACGATAACAGAGCATTTTCTTAGAATCTGTATCCTTCGTTGTGTTAAACTGCTTACTAGACTTCTTATAAATTTTCTTCTTCCCTTGTACTGTATTTACCACTGCGTGTGTGTTTTCTCCGGAGGTGTCGAATTCACTCCCATGACTCAGAAAAGTGTCGCTTTGGCTCCCAGGTAATTAGAAACCAGGGTCGAGTTGGCTCCCGAATCATTAGAAACTAGGGTTGAGTTGGCTCCCAGGTGGGTCGAGTTGGCTCCCATGCTATTACAACTTCCCAGATTAACATTTTCAACAAATATTATTATTTTTCCCGTCACACTTGATCAAGGCTTCGGACTGGCAGTTCAAATTACTTAAGTACTGGCGTGTTTAAAAAAATAATGATATTATCTTGATAGTTATTTGAATACTGATGTTCTTGGAAGATTTTTCAAATTATTTGCTAAAAATCAACTTTTGGTAGAAATTTTTTTGATACTGCCTTAATATACTGATATCGCGTAGAAAAACCATTTTGATACTGCAACATTTCTTGATGTAAAAAAGTTTCTTTTTCTTGCATACTTTTTGATTTTGTTTTCGTACTTCGCATTTTAATGTACACATCAATTTTCTCCGGCCGTTTTCTCCTCGTAATTGTGTAGTTTCTTTCTCACACAGCTCCGTAGCATTAGCTATTTGTAAAACTTTCTCGAACGTTAGGTCCTTTGTTTCGAGCAATCGATTCTGTATTCTTTGATTACTCAGACCATAAACGAACTGATTTCGTAATGCTTTCTGTAGAAAGTCCCCAAATCCACAGCTCGCACCAAGCTTCTTCAAAGCCATAGCAAAGTCTTGTACAGACTCTCCAAGCTGCTGCTTCCTGCAATTGAACTTGAAATTTTCAGCAATCTCTAACGTCACTGAGGCATACATTTCTTTTAGCTTATCGCTCAACTTCTCGTACTTCTTTGTTGACACCATCACATCACCAAATGTATCGCACAGCACATCGTAGGCCTTATCTCCCACGTAATAAAGCAAGTAGGTAGCTTTCAATTTATCGTCCGTAACTTTCATGATGGCTAAAGCACCTTTGAATCTTTGCAGCCATCTCTCCCATTTTGACTCACCCGGCACAAAGACTGGTATTGTAAAATTTGCGCCAAATGTAGCCATTTTACTTGTAATTTTCTCGACTTTCTCGTCACTGTTGCTTGACTGCTCTTCTTTTATCAATGTGTTTTCGTACTCCACATCGATATCATTCTCTGTAGAGATGGAAAAAAGCCTCTCGAGATACTCAATTTTGTAAACGTAACTCGCACTCAACCGTCGACGAGAATTCAAACGTAACTTTTCACTTCTTTCTACCGTCCTCGTCACCAATTGTTGTATATCTGGGTTCAGTGAATAAGTACATCGTCGAGTGGCTATATACTCAAAGGCTTATTTATTCAATGTAGTAATACAATGCGCTAACACAGGTGACTTCTTACTCGTGTACTTTCTCGCGACATACTACTCCCACGTACGCACTCGCTCGGCCTACCTGTCTATTCACTCACACTGTTGTTACACACGTAGCCCACACCTACACAGCTTGCTCAATAGCACAGACCCAACATGTGTGAAAGTTTACGCAATAAAAGAACTTCAGAAAGAAAAAATAGATAAATACCACAACGGAATTTTTGGTGTGATTAATGTAAATAAAAATAATAATAACATAACACTTGAAGCAGGTAACGAAAGAATAATTATAAAACGCTTAGATTGAGGAAGGTGCTCTTACGAATAAGACTTCCCCAACGAGACTTACCCGAACTTGAGTACGTATAAGACAAAAAGAAAGAAAAAATCATTATATAAAAATTCAATTTTATATGATTTTATTAAATCAACATCCAAGTCTTATCAACACAATTACCTAACAATTGTAACAACAATGTGACCTTCGTTAAAAATGTACATTTGTTCATAAGTTTATAATATATGACTAGTTAAAAATAAATCAATAATAACATCAATCCATAATAATTTTTTAAGGTATTAGTTCAGTAGTTGTAATAGACATGAAAAAATTTTAATGAACTGATTTTCAAACTGAAATTTTTTTAAAAAACTTAAATGTCATTTCTGCATACAGATCTTCTCAAGATGTCCCTGCTTTTTACAAGCATTGCATATGATATTTTTGGGCAATGTGCAAACATTCGCCTTGTGATTTACATTACCACAACGATAACAGAGCATTTTCTTAGAATCTGTATCCTTCGTTGTGTTAAACTGCTTACTAGACTTCTTATAAATTTTCTTCTTCCCATGTACTGTATTTA